CACCCACCCACACCCACACCCACATCCACATCCACACACCCACACCCACCCACACCCACACCCACACTCACACCCAATTGATGCATGAAGAATTTGAATTTATCAGGGATATTGCAAGAAAAAATGGATACCCTTATAATTTTGTAGAATGTCAAATAAGACATACTTTAAATAGATATTTACGTAAACAAAAAATGAATGAAACAGAGAATAAAAAAGATTGTCAAGATAATAATATAAAAGAAATAAAAGATAAAAATAAAAATGATAATATTATTGTTGATGTTCCATATGTTGGTAAATCAACAAGTAAATTCATAAAGGACATAAAACAACTAGCTAAACGTATTAAACCAGAAACTTCAATCTTAGCAATACAAAGACCATCACCTAAAGTTGGTCAATTCTTTAAAAATAAAGACAAAACATTAAAAAATTCACAATCTGGTGTAGTCTATCAAATAAAATGTAATTCTTGTTCTTCTTCTTATATTGGACAAACAAATAGACAACTTACACGAAGATTAAAAGAACATGGTGAAATACAAATCAATCCAACAAAACAACAACAACAAAAACAAAAATCATTACAACACCAACAACAGCTACACCAACTTCGTAGGTCCGATAGAACAGCATCAAAAAATCTTCCAATTATTTCTTATTATGAATCAGATACTAGTAGTGATACAATTAGTGATAATGGCATGTCTTTAATCAATAATCAAAATGAGTCAAAAAATAATTCTGCAGTTTATCGACACATGACTGAAACTAATCATCAAATGGATTGGCAAAATGTGAAATTATTATACAAAGATAAACATCCTTATAAATTATTAGTGAAAGAATCACTTGCAATATTAGAACATGTACCAACACTCAATTTAACTACTCAATCAACACCACTTATAGTGTTTCCAGATGGTCATACAAATCGGCGCAAAGAAAGAGATAAAATATAATTATAAAATTATTATATGATTGTACATTATAGGATATCTATATAATTTCTTTTTCTACTGTCATGTAATCTATTTTACCTTTATGTAGTTCATAAGATAACTCTACTTGATAATGATAATAAAGATTATCGAAACGTCGTAAATGAATGAAAATATGAAATTTTACGCTGCTGTTAAAAAAGCTCAAAATTATTTCAGATTATTGCCCATAAATTCTAGTAACGATTATGTAGTGTTTTTCCTCGTCTCGAATATTTATATATGAGACTAATTTCTCCCGATTATGTAGTTTTATTAATTGATCAATTGAACTATCTATCAATTGCACAATTTCAATTCTATTCTCGTTCGTCATCACTGACGCGTTTCTCATCTCAAAGATTTTGCTCTAAAGATATTTCATCATATGTGAGGGTGAAATGAGATGGTTTCATGTTTTATGAGACAGTTCAATGATATCTTTGAGAATAATAAGTTATAATTGAGTACGAAAAACTAATCGATCTTTATCGAGATGATAATTCTTAATTTCATTGAGCGAAAAGCCAGTTCAGATCAATTGAGTTTCTGAATAGCGTTTTAAATTTTATAGTAATAATCTCCTTATCAATAAAAAGAAAAATACAACCACAATCATATAAAAATTGTCTTCGAAGAATTACTTTTATTTTCGAAGAAATTTTTGTACGTTGGAAATTTATTTTTATCTTATATTTATTCTGCTTCAATGGGACTTTAATTCGTTCTCAAATATATCATTAATATATATTTTCTCATTGTTTTTGCTCTTCTATTCTTTGCTTGTTATTGATTATTTTGATTTTAATTATCTGACAATCGAAATTCGTTCAAATGGTATTCGTCACTAACATATGGTTTGCAATAGATCATATTGATGAAACATTTTTGTTTATATGTTGAAATATTCGATACGTAAAAATGTTTTTAGTCTCGCACATTTTGCATATAAAAAATACACACCAGTTCCAATGTTTTGACTACCTGTAAATTTTATTATGTCAAATAAGTCTTGAAAAAGCCTCAATCTTATATCAATATCTACACAAAAATCAAAATTTTTTCTACATAAGATGTATTGATTTCAATCGTTCTTTCTCCAAAAAATTAGCTTTTGGTGAGCAAAATTATTTTTCGTTTTAACTTAGAAAAAGAATGAATATTTTTCGAATCAATTTTGATAGAAACTAGAGAGTTTCACATTTGAGAACAGGAGATAAAAGTGTGTTTAATCATATATTAGCACTATGCGAGAATCACATGAGCCCTTTTCTAATACTCACTTATCGTAATATTCTGCTGCACAACTAACCTTTTTCGGCAGAATAAGAGATAGAAATAAGTATTTTTGTAAACTTTTTACTTTTACAACTAAAAAATGAAAAGATAAATAAAATTGAATTGTCATGAGCTTTTCTTAAATCTATTGCCATTTTATGTGAAAATGGCACGAATCAGACAAAAAAAATGTTTGAGCGCAATTCGTACGAGATTAAAATGTGAAATATGATCGAATCATTTCAAATATCCAGAGGGGATATTTTTTATTTTTGTTATAGTCCATCACAAGATTTAAGTAAGAAATTTCGAAAGAAGTAGCTTATTTTCATTTCGCTTGATTGAAACATGTTTCAGAAAAAAGCATATCATTTATCAAAAAAAAAATCACTAATAAATTTTCGCTTTCGCAATAAGTTTGTCTGGGTCAATAATGATCTTTTTGTTTGTCCAATATTTTACATTTTAAACATGAAATAACATTTTCATTTTACTCGATAGCAAAAGTCAATTCCCATCAGAAATTTGTCTTATTTTGTACCTTGGACAGTTAACCATCGTGGGAAAAATAACAGCAGAAAAGTTTGTACGCCATCATACCGACTATTAAGAAAATGTGTCTACAATGAACGACCTTGACAATGTAACATCGATAACCATTGAGACAATTCTTATCGGCTAATACGGAGCATTTGCTAGAAATCTTTCGAATCTGATGTAGAAAATAAAATAATAAATATACCATTAGTGATACCAAACAATAGTGTTGCAATATCAACTAAAATGCATGGGAAAGACTGACGACATTGAGATATTCGAAGATTTTCAAAACTAGTTCGTCGGTCAACAATTCTAAATTCGTTGTCTTTGTCTATTATATGGCAAAATAATAATTCTTTGAATGTCGCTATTTCTTTGCTTTCTTCTCCTGAAAACATAAAAGTAAGGAAAATTTTCAACCAAAAACAAATGATAAATCAAACTGTTAATTAGTTCGATATATTTTTCATTGAAATAATAGAATTGAATTCATAATAAACATTCGTTTCTTCTAGTAATCTCTTTTTGACACTCATATATAAACATCTTTTTTTCTCTCAGTTTGCTTGGATGATTGAATTGTTTCGATATTTATTAGTTTTTTTTTCAGCAAATGTTATTTCATTTGATTTGATTAATATCAAAACAATAAACAGAACAGATTGATTTTTTTTATTCATTAAAGAAATAACTGAAACAAAGTCTTTTTTTTAAGAAGAATGGAGAAACTATTTGACTCTTCAATTTATAATCTATGTTCATGGAATATCTTATTCAGATAGTCTAGACTTTTACTTTTCTAAGAAAAACTCTTTATATTCCGATAGACTGTAAATTGAATCAACTAAAAAGAAAAGATTATCTTTAGTTCAGATAGGAAATTACTCGTCATTAGAGATTGGATCTTTATCTAGTAAATTCGAATAGAAATATCAATGAATATTTTAATTTGTGCTTGATCAGATAAGCCTTGAAAGGTCATTGAATCAACTTCGAAAAATAAAAGATTGATTTGGATTTTCTCGACAACTATCTGATGTTTCAGACTGACAACAGAAAATAGAAAATCGTTGTATGTTTCTCATATTGAGAAACATCTTGTAACCAAATGGTCTGATGATTAGGTAATTGCTGGGAGAAACGAATAGGGAACTGATGTTAATCAACTCTATGGGATCTTGTCCTGATCGATTAGAAAAATTATCGTGTGACAAAATGATCACTTGGTACCAGAGAACTTTCAGCGTTTCTCTAAGATTTTTTTTCTCTATTCAAAATCATGACTGTTTATGTGCTGCTCGTTTTCTTTGTTGACAAAAACATGGTTTTTGTACGTTATATTTTGTTTGTGTTCTGTCGTTGATGCAACCTACATTTTTATATTGGCAAGAAGAAAATATACTTTTTCTTTTATCTAGCGTCTGTTCTCTTTCGTCCTAAGAAAATAAGAGAGCAAGCAAAAAGTGGGTATATGTTTGTACACGTATGAAAGAGAGCGAGTGGGATATATAAGTGTGTGTTTGCTTAGATAAACGACGATGACGCTATCATTATCATACTTGTTGCCGACCAAAACACCTTTTTTTTGTTCAGGTCTTTTCTCTCATTTTTCAGATGTCATCGGCTGATTGAATAGCTTCGAATGTTAAAGTTAAATATACTCAACTCTTTATCAACAATGAATGGCATAAAGCAACAAATGGAAAAACATTTTTTGTCATCAATCCAAGTACAGGAGAAGAAATCTGTCAAGTAGAAGAAGGCATTAGAGTATGAATCTCTATATGTTTTTCATTGGTTCATTATCTATTGTGATTTTCAGGCTGATGTTAATAAAGCAGTTAAAGGTGCTCAAACAGTTTTTGATATTAAATCACCATGGCATAAATTAGACCCTCTTTCTTTCTCTCAACATAAGACAATATGTAAAAAGTGGAAACACTTTACAATGGTAAACTAGTAGAACAGACTAAAGGTGAAATATTTTTCTCAGTTGATTGCACTGAAACCAACTGAACAAACACCACTTAGTGCACTTTATTGTGCTGCTCTTATCAAAGAGGTAAGATATTATCACGTCGATTATACTTTGTTGTTGTTTTCATGATGTTCTAGGCTAACTTTCTACAAGGTGTTGTCAACATCATACTAGGTAAAGTGAATGATATTTGTCATAATAATTTCATAAGAATATTTAGGTGATGGGCCTGAATTTGGTTATGCAATTGCTGTTCACGCACATATTGATAAAGTAGCTTGTACTGAGTCAGTTGAAATAAAACATTCACTAATAAAACTAAAAAGAAATGA